AAGGAGCCCCTTCTTCACACCTGCTTCAGATACACTGCCTCTCCTACCCCTCTTAGTACCAGTTGTTTCAGGTAGGTTTGTGGCCCCCACCCTCTGGGAAAAAAAAAAAAAGAAGAAAAAAAAAAGGGACATAAAAATGTCTGAGCAGATGGAAGCATAAACAGCAGCTGAGCATCAGCAAGATCAAGGACTGAGGACTGAAATCACTCCCCAAGGTCAGGAGGACCTCTCTGACAACAGCAGGGCAAGCAACACACACACGCAGGCCTGCAGCGACAGACTCTGGGAGGAGGGGCTGGTCCAGTATAGAGAAAGGAGACACAGAAGCTCTGGCAATGCAAGGCTCACCCTTGTCTCCTCCCTGTATCCCACCTTCCCAGATACTCCTTTCCCAGTTGCTGCCCCTGGACACTGAATCTTTGCTGGCTGAAGAGGACACAAAGGAAGGGTCGAGCTTTGGACCTCCGTTGCTCTCCTCCACCCTCCCTTTCCTCCCATCTGGTGCCAGAACTGCCCGGCTCTTCCTCTGGCGCAAGACTCTGGCCAGTCGCAAGTGGGCGCTGGCTGGAGAGTGGGCCTGGAAGGCCACACCTAGGGGCTGCTTTGGACTGAAAATGGACCGAATTGGGACCTTCAGTGGTTTGGGGTGCTAGCCTTGGAGAAATTCTGAGGTGAGAGAGACCACAGCGAGGGCAGCAAAGAGGGGAACTCCAAAGCATAAACTATGGGGAGAGGGAGTGAGGGGACCTGGGCAACAGGGATGCAAGCTGAACCCAGGTGGTGATGTGGCACAGTGTGACTCTAATTGACGGCTGATGGGCCGAAGTCAGAGAGCTGATCTACTTTTTCCGTGGGACATGAGGATAGTGACCTCTGTGATACCAGCCCTCAGGCCGGGGTGGTGCGCAGGGAGCAGGTGGGCTGCACACTGCTGCAAGGCCCGCATTGCTTCTTCACACACAGGAGACTGGTGTGTCTGGAGAGCCTGCAGGGGACAAAACACAGAAAGTACATGGCACTCCTGCCGCTGAAGCCCTCAAACCCCTGCCCCAAGGTGCCGGCTGAAGGGCCATTGCGGCAGGGAAGTTATTAAACGGTGCAAGGCAGGCTGAGCACAGGGGCTGCTCAGCAATGCCACGGCCCCGCAGCACTAGGACACCCCTCGCGAGCGCGGCCCCCTCTCTGCCTGGCCCGCAGGTCCTGCTACCCAGCTGTCAGGGGCCCACGGGCCTTGGCTGTTCTCTCTCTCCTACCATTTGTGCTTAAGAACTGAGCTGCTAATTAAAGAGAGCTGTATGGTGCATTCGTCTCATTCACACATGGCAGCATTTGCCCAAACGCCTCCGCAAGCGGCAGCAGCTCCTGTTGCACCTTGCACGCGCCCAGGAGTGAGTGGTGAGCCAGGGACGAGGCCTTCCCCAGCCCCAGCACCTGCCAACAGCCGGGAGGTGGCGGCAGAGCCCAAGGCCCTGGCACCCCGCGCTGTGGGGCCGTTTTGGTAGTGCTGACCTTGCCTGCAGGCTGCCCAGCCGCAGGCCCGGGGAGCCATTCCCCAACCCTGCGCCTCCGAGGTGCTGCCTGTGTCGCTTTGGAGCCCTGTCCCTGTCGGGCGGCTGCCTGCCAGCACCACGAATGACCCAATGGCTGTCCCCGCAGGGCCTAACAGTTATGTAACAGCCGAGCGTCTCCCATCACCCTGGATAACCTTGGTGAGCCTGGAGCCAGAGGCACCCCTTCTGTCTCTCTTCCCCTAAAGCACCACAAAGACACAGTCAAGAGCCTCCCCGAAACCCTGCAGTGACAGCCGTCCCTCTCACACCCCTTGCCAAGGCCACGTGCGCTGATTCCGCCTAATTCAGCAATTACGAGATGGCTGGAAACGCAGCCTCATGCTTTCCCAAGCCGATCTACCCACAATGCCTCCATTCTCTCCCGCTGCCTGCAGCCGTATTCAGCCCCCAGCTGTCCTCCAAGTGCTGAAGCCAGGGCCCCCTGGGTGCCCTTCTCCTCACGAGTGCAGGCTCCAGCAGCTGGGGAGAGCCCCAAAATCCTGGTTGCAAGCCAGGCTCAGGGGCACATGGGCTGGGATCTGCTGTGTTGGCTCTTCCCGCCTGCACTGTGCCCCCTGCACAGAGTACTCAGTGATGTCTCTGTTTGCTGAGCAAACAGCGGTCCTCCTGTTTGTGCAAAAGTTTAAGGCAGCCCCCAAAAGCTCCCCTGACCCCTCTTCTGGCCCTCCCAGGTTATGTTTGGGAATCCTCAAATGAGGCACAGGATCCTTCAATCTCCCTGCAACCTCCTGCTCCATCGCTGCAGCACATAAGCCATCCCCCATGGCCTTTAAGAAAAGGTCGTAACCTCAGCTGGGGCTAAAGTTAGCTGCCTGCCCCTTGGCAGCACCGGGAATAGCAGCAGGATAAGGAGCGTTGGATTACGTCCGAGCTGGGTGACCCATCGCCAGACCCCCCTGGTATCTGCTTCGATCCCCCAGCTCGTCACATCCTTCCCATCCTCGGGGATGCTGCTCTGCTGACCCGAAGGCCTTGCCCAACTGAGCTGCAAAGGGGGAAGGTTTCAGCTGTTTGCATTGCACAATCCAGACACAGCTCCACATCTCCCGTATTCCTGTATCGCCGCGGGTGCCTAAACTGGGTGCACGCTATCTCTGCTCAGAGCTCTCTCCCCAGGGAAGAGCTGCTTTCAGACGCGCTCTCAGTCTCAGCGCAGAGCTGGCGGGAACAGGGCCTTGCACAGGAGAGGCCAGCACGCAAGGCAATGACGGCCATCACGCGGGGAGCACTCCCTGCTCAGCCGCAGGCTCCTGCCTGTCTGCAGCCAATGAGCGCGCGCTGGCCGCATGGATGCGAGCCGGCAGCACGGCGCGGTAGGCAGGATTTCCGCAGTCACGTCCCGCGAGTAGCGGCCTCCCCGGTTCCTTATTAACATGGTGCTCATGCTGCTCTGCGCAGCCTACTGGGGCCGCGGCTGGCGGCTGGCGGGAGGCCGCGTGGGCTGGCGCCATCAGAGCATGGCTGGCTGGGGCAGCTCGGGGCCAGGCAAGGCCGGGGGGCTGGCAGGGCAGGGGTGCAGCAGCAGCCCCCCCAGAGC